TATCTATATATATAAAAAACACTCACCTTGGTTTTTAAAAATACAATAAAATATTTGATTATATTAATTTATCCCCTTTGAGCGTTAAATGCATAATACTAAAAGGCAAAATCTAATTATTATAAAAATTATTTGAACAAAGTTGAATCCTCTATCAAAAACATTTTTGGAAATGATTTAATAACTGTACAAATGTAAAATACATAACTTCGATCACCAACATCATAATGGTACCGACATCGTTAATCTCATTACGAAATATTTTTTCGATGCTTTCTATGTTTCCACCACATCATATTTCTTTTCAAATTATATTAATAACATTCATTTAAATTATATTATTCACACTGAACTAGATCTCTTCTTTTGTATGATTTCCAATCTAAGCTCTTATATAGGCCAAGGTTAGTAGTCATAACTAACATTTTTAATATATAGAGATCTCTTAGTGAAGGTATTTCTAATACTTTGAAGACGTGTTTTATTTCTCTAATTTTAAATACGACGATATTCTTCATTAAGTTAGACATTAGTAGGTATATACATAATCATTTAGTAAGTCTCAAACGTAACTAACAATGTTGCCATATCTCAAAGTTATTAGTTTTCATTCCAAAATTACTTTCTTACTTAAATAGTTTAATTGGTCAAAACAATCAAGCCTTTGCTCTTATTTCCGTGGAAACTATCAATAACGTTGTAGTTTTATGGTAACTTTTATTTATTATTCATAGTATATTAGACTAGAATAATTTCAGTAAGTAATAACTAATTTATCTTTGATAAACTTATAAATATAATAGTTACTAATTAATTGATCACACATTATTCGCATTGATTGTTTTACGATGTAAATATTATCAGGCCTAAATAATATTTACGTTAATCTATTATCAAAATATACAGAACAAACTATTTACTATACATTAATTATTAGTTAAGTTGTAATGTATAATAAGGTGTAGCTAATCGTAGTAATTGGTAAGTCATAATCGTATATAATTGCCCTCATCAAGTAGATCATAAAACGTTAATACATTTCGAACGGCAAAACAAAGTTTTTAATCTAACGCATAATGTTATATATCTTATGAGTTACGTCAAAGGGAATAATCATTATCGATGATTAGTACTAATTTAACAAAAGTTTACAAAACTTATTATTTTATGAAAATATGATAGTAAATAATTTGTAAGGATTTACACTGGCATATCATCAATATACTGTATAACACTTATATTCAGTAAATTTGCTGTAATTTCTAATTATTAATATAATGTGAGCATCAGTACTGATACATATTAAGGGACTTATTGATTTAGCTATAGTAAAAACATAATTTTTTATTTAAATTAATATCAAAAGATTACTGTGCGTCACTGAGAAAAACTCGAGTGGAGGCCCAGGGTTATCTTAGATTACTGCAGATAATTCTTATTGTTTTAGGTACATATTGCATTTTTAAAAGAAAAATAAGGAGTAAGGATAATTACCTATAGTTAACTGACAATATTGTGATCTTGTTAAAATCTTTGTGAGAATTAAATGCTTATATAATATTATTTCAACCTTTTAAATGCTGTGTATGGTGTTAACTACCCACTCTATTTTTAATTTTGTTTTCCTCTTAAGAAATAATATAAAATTAGTTAGGTACTCATCATTAAAAATTGTAAAACGATAGAAGTGGCATCGGATTCGGAATGTCGTACTTCCTATAGTTATGCCCTATTCATAGTCATTCACCAAGTATGCTCAGTGCTCACCCATATTTTTTCCTTTAACAATGAATTTGTTCAAATTCTGGTTTTTGAAATTTTTAAATATATTCAAAAACCATATTTTTAAATTCTTGAATTCTTTTGTACTACTTAAGGAGTGTCTTGTGATGATAAAAACTTCTGTTTTTTTCAAATGAGAACCTAATCTTTTGCTTAAAATTAATTGGTAGGTAGATATTTTTTTTTTTAATTTTGATATACTTAATGCAAAATTAGAATACGCATTTTCTTAGTTATTAAAATGTTTGTACCTCCACATAGCACTGCTTAAGTAGTACAAAAATCTCAAGAATTTGAAAGTATGGTTTTAAAAAATATATAAAAATTTAAATAATAAGATTTTGAATAACTGCATTTATTGAAGAAAAATAGAGGATCACCAGACTTAATGTTTTTGTTGTCATGCACAATATTATTCATGTTACATAGGTAGTTAATTTATCTCGCATGTCTGAAATCTGTCCTCAATATAAAAGAAAAAAGCCAGTGGCTTCCAATAATAAAATTAATACCATTCATTGTATCGTCTCATCAAATAACTGAAACGATATTATTTTATGATTTTATTATGTGATTAGTAATAATTATAACATACCCAGTAAGCACCCAGTAGGTACTACATACCTACAATATTTTATTTTTGTACTATTCAATGAAATATGCAAAAGACCACAAATAAAGTCATCGACAAAACAATGATAGAACCCTGATCGAAACACGAAATCAATTTCTAGGTCGAATAAAAATAATACAACGATATACTATTGACTATTGAGCACCTATTTATGGTATATAATACAAATCTAAATATTTACGAATAGTGAGTATAATATAGTTACCACCAACAAATTTTGTCGAAACGCCTCGGCCATATTAAATATATCTGTTAATATTTAGATAACACATTAAAATATATACCCTTTGCACATTATTCGCACACAGTCACACAGATGATGCGTTTTGTGTTTTCAGCTCATCGTACCTATGACCACGGCCGTTATATTATACGAGAACGCATATACCGATAATACGATATAGCCCTCTCGCCTCGACCTGCGTGATAACCATATACCGGACCTCAGTGACGGCGGTGCAACCGTGTAGGCCGTAGGGGATGGGGCGGATCATTCAATTTTTCATGGTGTTTGATGCATATTTCATTCGGTCGGCAGCGCATTGTTGTGCGGGATCGGGGCGGCCAATTGTTTTTAAAAGAACGTGATGGGTCGAGTACATGCGAGACGATGATACCCGGAGACGTTAACGGTTAAGCGGGCACTGTATGAGGTGCAGCGGCCCCGCGAGAGGGGGGGGGCCAAAACGTTATTTTTATTATGTACACCACGAAATGGACAATTTCGGTCAGGTAGCTGTTAAAATAGTGAACGGTGCTTATGCGTGTATATTGTCGGCGGAGTCCCCTAGGTCCAATTCAATGTTTGTGTGTGTGTGTGTGTGTGTGTGTGTGTGTGTACCTACCCCTTTGCTTTCCCCTCTTCAACAGTATAGGCCGTGTACACAAGGTATCATTTCTCGTGTACTCAAATAGTTTGTATATGGACCTGCGTCCCACCATAATCCTACCATATGACCCGATGCTGATCGAATGACCATCACCCTCACGCACAAAGCGCTCATATTATATTATAGGTATACAATGTATAATAGGTATATAATATATTATATTTGTTTATTCATATATATATAGTGCGCAGTCGTTTTGTCCGCATTCTGCATGTGTATAGAGCGATCATAGAATAATAATAATAATACCAGTGAGTGCAAAGTGTGTACCATGACGACCTGTAACGAACACGCTGGGAACTGGTAAGATATGTATGTATGTATATTTAATCATGTATAATAGACGTACTTATATATATATATATATATATATAGCTCTACATTAGAGCTATACACAATTGTACCACTGTTCACCGTTTGTGCAGTCGTTTAGCAATAATAAATAGCTAATACATATACATTGAACATATCTACACATATATAATATGTATATGTGTGTGTGAGTGTGTGTGGTGTGTCCAGCGACACATATGCGCCCCCTCTTCGGTTAGAGCCACCGACCTCTCTCTGACTGTCATTAACTGATTTACAGGCTAAACCTCATTAATAGAACGGAATGTTTAACTAAATTGTATCACTTTAAATAATTATGCGCGGTCCGGCCGAGGGGTCAGCCATTATAAATTAACGGCTCACTCCGTGTCTCTACTTCTTCCCCGCTCACCCCAACTCACCCACTTCCACTCTATTTCACTCTGCATTTATGTATATGCATTATATCTAAACGCAAACACTGAAACACGCGTGCAATGTGTGTAGATGTGTGAGTAAGTTTACTCGGCGACCAAAATCATACCATCAGCATCGGGTCGAGCAGGAGACTGCTATACGCGTGTTTAGACCCAATCTGATCAGAATACCAATAACGAGTAGGAAATTTCATAAAATTTCATAAATTGATAAAAATGTTGCATATATTATAAAGTATCAAAGAATATAAACAATATGCTCACGTGCACATATATAGGTATGCACTATGTATGTCGTATTATGTTTTATTTATACTTTTGCCTTTTATTTTATACCATACAGTGTTGGGGTGTACCGTTGTCTTCTTTTTTCACTATAATCATTAGAACCCCGGTTCTGGGGGACCGTTATATGTATCGCGAGAGCTGTCAGTGCAGATACTGCAGATATACTTAATTCAAATATAAATTTCAACTAATCTGTAAGATACTTACGAGTATATAGGTACCTATGAATCGAGTGCAACGATAACCTCCATGATTCAGCCAGTACAGAGACTAATTATTAATTCGAACTAATGATCGAATTGAATACAATTAGTGATTAGGCATTGCATACAGTTTAATAAAACAGTTTTTAATCATTAATTTATTTATACATTTTAAAATTAAATTTTTTTTTATTATTATCATTTATTTATGTATACGCTCAACGGCAATTTTCAAGAATACAATTACTTATTATTCAATTGGTTAATATAAAAATAATATGACAGTCGTTAATAATTTATTATCTTACATGGGTATTATTTAAGAGAACAAAATTATTATTTATAACGAAGAAAAAAATGATATGAGTGAAATACTCGTACATTTTTAACATTAATATAACATTTTTTTGTTTTTTTTTATTAATTATCCCGCCACCGTATAGGCCATTGGGTACTGTTAACTATCGCAAGGAGTTACACGGTAGTGTTGGAACGGTTGTTGAAAATTCTTGTTTATGTATGGTAAGGTTTTTGGCACTAACAACCCTGTTGATCACCCATCCAAGAACTATAATAGTAGCAGTGGACGGTAGTGTGACTGATTGCAGCAAACGCCAAGGAACAGAATATAATTAATTTGATTTTTAAACTTGTTATAATAGAAATACAAAATAGAAATATATCAATTATCGTATACATATAAGTACCCACCCGAATATCCGAACTTAAGTATTTTTAATTTAACTATTTAAATTGGGTACACACACTTTTACAATGAGCTGGATAGTAATTAACAGGAAAGTGAAATAATATTATTCGTTGTAAGTTCTTGCATTCAAATTTCATAATATGCAGTCATTTATTTTAGACTTAAATAATCAAAAGGGATTTTGAGGACATGAAGTGGCCATGTATTTTTCACTGTGAATATTCTAAAATAAGATAATTTTGTTTTATGTGCTGCATAAATAAATATCATATTTTGAGGCCCATAACTATATTTTCTTATCTAAAAGCTGCAGGGCTCAATAAGTCGTATAATATGTACTAAATATTTTGAATTGACAAGTTCAATGCTTATTTGGTGGCTTGTATTGGTTTAAATTTTAACCAAATACCATTTTCTGGCATAATAATTAATGATCTTGAACTTAATCTCATTGGGATGTCTGTTTTTTCACATGGTTCCACTTCATATTTGGTCAAAAGTTCGGTTAACGCCAATTTCATTTCCATTTCAGCGAATCGTTTCCCTAAAGTTTGGACGACACACATTTAGTTACATGAATATTATTTATTACAAAAAAACAACTTGGCCCCATTGAGTAAAACATGAGGCCAACAAAGTTTACTGTTCATTATCGTTCGATTGCACCATACCTATACATAAGCGAGGTCCATCACCAAACGGCATATAAGTTCCATTTGGTCTTTTAGCTTTTTCCTCTGGTGAAAACCGTTCGGGGTCGAACGTCTCGGGGTCTGGATAATATCTGTAGTCGTGATGAATAGCGTACGTAGGAATAAGAACTTTTGTACCCTTTTCAATAACGAAAGTGTCATCGGGTACTTGGTAATCCTGCGTAGCTTCCCTAAATAGTGTTATAAGTGGTGGATACTTCCTTAAGGTTTCTGAAATATAATTGGTATTTACATTTTAAAAACCTCCCGTCAATATTACACTTAAGTTTTATAAATTAAATATTTGACTTTAATGTAATAAATCAATATTTAAATTAGCACAATCATTGTCATACACTCTTTTTCGTATTTCGTATTCTATGACAAATTAAATTAATTTGGCTTAATTTGACTGATTTATATGTTTTTTAAATTTCTCAATGATACAATTTTATTTATTAAGACCATCCATAGATACTGACCGGCTAATACCATTTCCAAATAATGTAAATCCTTTAGAAAATCATTGTCAATCTCATCGTTGTATTTATTCTTCGTCGTATTCATTTCTTCTCGCACTTTGTCATGTATTGGTTTTTTCAGTGCAAGTTCGTACAAACAAAAACTCATCGCCGTAGACACTGTTTCAAAACCAGCAGCGAATAGTATAAATGCATTTGCCACGATATCCGTTTCTAAGAATTCAACTAAATATACATAAAAAAAATTTAATACCAAAATCTATGCTATTCAATAATAAAAATTAATTGATGATAATAAATTGAATAATTAAGTATGTATACATATTACATTGTATACCTCTAAAGCTTTTTTCATTTGTTATATATTAATATAATACAATATTATAATGTTTTACGAGCGCATACAAGTTGGATATTAATAAGTGAAGAGTGTAATATGCATTGATTTATGATATTTTTCGTTAACTTTTGTAAAGAATTTTAGCTTATCTAGTCGGTGGACCATTTTTTATTTTCAGATTTGTTATTTTAACGGTTAAATTGAATTTGTTGATGAAAAATGGTAGAATTCACGCGCGGTATGCTTATTTTAAACGAAAAAGAATTCAATATTGTTCAAAAATAATTACTTACACTAAGACTTGGAGTTTTCAATTATTATACAGATAGGTTTTATATTAAAAATAAAATGTTTTTTGAAAAATTACCTCATAAGATAAGTTCAGCCAGTTAAATATGGAATACGTAATATTACATACTTGAATAGATGAAACAAATTGTTTGAACAATTCAATGTGGGCAGATAAATCGGCATTATGTCTCAAATATAGGTGCAGGTACGACTATATGGATATGGGATACGTGTATGGATTTCCCGTTAACTTTTAGATCATAAAATTATCCCAATGTATGCGAAATACACTGTTGTGTTTACTTTAAAATATTTCCCCGAAAAGTTGTCATAATATTGGCACACAATATTTGATTCGTTGTAACCTTAATATTATATTTCATAGTAAATGATAGTTAGGGATGAAGACTTCTAGTTTTTCCATACATTTTGTTTGGAAAGGTTACAAAAAATGTGAGTGATGTACACATGTGGTTCTTAACACAAAGGTTATATTAAACGTGCTATTAGGCATATTTTGTTGTTATCGCATATAAACGCATAATTAAGTGTATTATGACATTATAGACAAATAAATTACAATATTAGACAGTTATAAAAGCATACCCATATAAAATATTATAAAGTATTGATACTAAATGTAATGTCATAATATAAGTACTTATGTATAATATTATTGGTTTGGTAATTCACTATGCGGCCAATAACATCGTGACGAGTGTATGAAGTTAACTGAAGTTTCCCGTCATCATTTATCGCATAAGAGTAGCAGGTAATGTTGTTTGATTACCGTGCAATTTATTTTTGAAGTTTTTATCAATTAGCTAAAATATTATTTTTGGTATAAACATCATATTCAAGGTACTTACCATATTTTAGATACTACATTTTTTTAGAGAATATTTTGTACATATTATTTGTTTTTTTTAAAGCATAATTATTGTATATGCGTCTTTTAAAGTTTTTGAGCTCTATAAGTCCTCAGCCCTAATGATAATAATATATACATATTTATAAGTACTCAGTATTACTGGAATACTACTTTTATTACTTAAAATATAAATCTCATAAACAGATTTTAGTCTCTACGTGTCTTCAGCGTACGCTGCAGACAGTACACGCCTATGCTAATACGCCATCGGTCGCACCCAAGTGAAGTGACGTGCCCTGAGGTCCCATTAGTTCCTTATTTGTGTCTTATTGATATTACCAACACAATGCATTTAAATATATTATTATTTATATTATTTATAACATCCGCCTCAGTTGAAAATTTTTAGGCTCGCCACTGCCCAAGTGTTATTCTTTAAAACTGTCACGGATGTGTTGACATTCCGCGACAACCGATATTGTTGCGCGTAATATATAGCTACTTTTTTATGACAAAATATTCTGGCCACAAAACCAAATTATACCCGGAAAAATATTCTAATACAAAATATCTCATCAAAATTGATAATTCCATGACAAAGCATATTATATTCATAATAATAATGCGAAAAGTATAATGTCGGGTATCGGCACATATTATACTTATGATCGTGGTGGGACGTCGAAATCTAACCGTCGTAGGGTGAGCTGAATAATATTTTAACTATCTAAATTAGTTGCTTATTACAAATAGTCTATGTAAAAATACATGTATACTGTATAGGTACAATATTATATTATCATTTAACTATTTGAACATTTTCAAAAAAATGATTTAAAATTATAAAACAATACATATATATATAATATATATATATATAAATATTATTAAAACAAATTACAGGTATAAATAATTTAAATTCGATTATAATTTAATACATTAAAGTTTATAAAAATATATGTATCATCTTTAATCTACGTGCCTACTATGCAATATATTACTATTTATATTACTCTTTCGGTGAATATCGAGTAATTACTTAATAAATGTTGGTAATCAATTTCATTGTTGGCTGTGGAGAAATTCTATAATTTTTGAATTTCAAAATATTTAAAACTTGTTAGTAAAGAAAATTAAGTAAAAACAGTTAGCACACCACACACACGATACCTTTAACAATAACATAACGAATAACACAATCAATTAAGCCGAAGTGTGAACGGTTATTGCAGTACTCTTATCACAACTTTTATGATAGTTTATCATTAATATTTACGCGGAATATTATTTTGTCCCGAAATATTATGGATTTGGAATATTTTTAAATTTTTAATATTTATTATTTTTTTAATATTATACGTCTAGCTATATTTACCGTGACACTTAGACGTGTCACCCACATAGTTGCAAAGTATACTTACTATATAAATTTACTATACGCAATATTATCGTCAACTCATCATACCTGAAGGTTCGGTCTTGTTGACGACCAGGTCGGTCCTGGCCTGGATCAGTGACTGCATGACGTCGTCCCTGACGATGCCGTGTTCCTGCCGGTGCTTCATCGTGTCGGTGAACGCGGAGGTGAAGAACTGGGCGGCGTCTGGCGGGATGTCGCTGATGCGAAGCACGCGTCGTAGCGCCGGCGTCACCATCCAGGCCAGTTCTTTGAGCAGCACGCGGATCGACGGCGTGAACACGGCCTTGCCGTGCTTGCGGAACGCGGACCGCTCGTCGTTGATGGCGTTCAGGTGCAGTCCGAACGCGCACGTGCCGATGACGTCGGTCGAGTACTTGCCGAGCACGTCGCGGATCTCCATCTGGCCGCCGCCGGCCGGCATGTCCGCGGCCACGTTGCGCATCAGCTGCTGGCTGCACTCTTCCACCTGGCCGCGCATGTGCCGCAGCTTGCCCGAGGTGAACACGGGGCTCAGCTTTTGCCGCATGATCTTCCACTGGGCGCCGTTCATGTTGAACAGCCCGTTGGCCAGCGGGTTCTCGTCCGGCCGGGCCGTGTACATGCCGTGGTCGGTGAAGTGCGCAAAGTCGCCGATCAGCACGCGGTTCACCAGCGCCGGGTCGCACACCATCAGGTGCGGCGTGCGCATCTGGTAGAGCCCGCAGTACCGGTGACCGCGGAACTCGTCGTAGATCCGGCTGAACATGCGCGCCTGGTGTTCGATGCCCAGGGCCAGCCCGCCGATGTTGCCGAACAGCGGCACCGTCGGCCGCACGTACGGGACGCCTCGGTCGCGCCAATAACCGAACGTGGACGTCGAGAAGCGGTACGCCGTGGCCACCAACAACGCCAGCGCCGCGACCGTCCACCAGCCGGCCACCGAGTCGAGGAGCAGCTGCACCGCGGACATCGCGCGAGCAGTACTTTCCAACGGCAGTTTGGAACAGGAATTTTTTGATTGGTGTGTTCTGGTGGTCGGCGAATCTACTAGAACCGGCTGCGCTGTACAGTGCTATAGACGAACTGAGAGTAGACCGGCAGAGACGCGACGCACTGCGGCCACTTCGCGACAACCCACCGTGCTGAAGCACCACGCCGATCTCTTTTTCGCGTGGGTGCGGCCACAATACCGGTATACCAACGTTGTTATCGTAGTTGTGTTGCGGCGATGACTGTGTATTTATCAGAATATTATTGCGTATTACCACTATTGTTGCTGCCGGCGACCGAACGGCTCGCGACCTCGGGACGGTACTATAATGAATAACAAATTACACTTAATCATACGAGTCGACTCGATGCGACTCGGCTGCGACGGAGAAGAGATAATGACTTCCGACATGGCAGTACGCCTGCGCGGCGGCCTTGGCCACCGAAGAATAATTTAGAGTTATTAATGTACAATTAAATTTGCCGGTCGCGTTTTGGAGCGGTCTCGCGAGCGTAGGTGCATCCTCGTGCATGCACCTACTCGACGAAATAGGTGAACTGCGCATGACAACCATGACGCGTGTACTGCATATTCTACCAAAACACGTTCGCACTCCGGACAACGAGACCGAAACTTTTCATATCGCGTTTTTATAGCTGACCTTTGTCGTCATTTTGTCTTGTGCCAACGAACAATAGGTTAGATTTAGGCCTGCGATATCACGCGATATGTTACAACGATCGTTTTCGCAATATATATATATATATATATATATAGCGTAATATTATTGTTTGTGTATAATTATTGGGCTATGTCAATAACAACAAAAATAATTTGCACCTACATTGCTGATGTAGTGATGTACGCACGCGAATTGTGTAAATATGTGTGCGTAGTAAGTGATCATTAGTGGCTGTTGCCTGTGTAGAAAATAAATAGCTGAGAATATTATGTGCAAACGCACGCACGTCAATAATAATACGAACTACACGAATATGATATTTTTTATGTTGTATATTTGTGTGAAGTATCGACACTACGCTGCAACTGTAAACATAATTTCGAATTCGCCGTGACTCGACGAATTTACTTGAAATCGGCTTCAATGTATTTTAGATTCTGAGCGAAGCGACGAGTATGTTGATTTTACAATGATGTAGGTTTTTTTATTTTTGTGTCTGTCATCACGGTCGGGGGCAGTAAGAGTGCTTCGTTTTCTTCAACAACTTTTCTTATAGAAAAGTAAATCTGTAGTTGGGGCGCTCAGGAGGTCAAAACTCACAGTTCCCAAAAGTGTTCAAAAGCGACAGGAAAAACAAACAAAAGGAAAACCGGGAATTTTTACTCAAAACCAGTTTTCGAAAAAATCAATTTTGGTTTTAGTGTAGCTCTAAAAAAAAATGACCATAGATGATGCATGATATTTTCACTGAATGTTTGTGTTAGCATTATTTTGCTATACCTACACCATGCAATTTTCAAAATATTTTTACTCGTGTTCAGCTATTTATAGGCATATGAAATTTTCGAGTATTATTAATTTTTTTTTAGACTTATGAGTTATGTCCATAAAAAAATTTTCACTTGGTCAAATAATTTTAAAATGTATAATACAAGGTTCCTCGCAAGTTGCTGTTACTGAAATTAAAAAGTAAATTGAGCGTAAATCCACATTACATTTTTATGAAAGTTTGAATTTATAATTTTGACAAAATTCGTAAAAATCACGAAAATTAGCAAATAACTTTGAGTTAGAAATTGATAAAAAATTTCTATTTATATCTAAGATTTAAAAATGTAATACAAATGTTCTTATATATTTGCCTTTATCGAAAAATAATTTCAACCAGAAAGTCAAATTAAATTCTTATGAGCGTTTGAAATTGACATTTTAACAACATTGGATATTTACTCGATTTCTCATGTAGCGATTTTCTTATTTTGTTATTATTCAAAAACGAATAACCGTAGATCCTTTAAATTATCACCAAATGTTTATTTCATCAATTCACAAACTTGATACAATGTACAAAATATTTTAATTCATTTTTAGCTGTTGACGGATATTTTCAATTTTTTTTTCCATAAATGTTAATAAAATTCTATTGGTTGGGTTAAAAGACATGAACATTTAACTCAAGACTCTTGATATATTGTTAAAATAGCAGTTGAAAATATATATTTAAGTGTTTGTTTTATAATCATTAAAAGGTTAAATTTTGACAAAATTGTAAAAATTGTAAAATGATTTTGTAGTTAAAAATGCATTAAAAGTCCAACTTTTATAACTAAAGATTGAACATTTAAAACGAGGTTCTATGTAAGTAGTCAATTCTGTAACCAAAATATTTAAAAATAAACATCAACACAGCTTTTTTACAGTTATTATAAGTTTAAAGTTATATGAAACTCGAAAAATAACAATTTTAGTTATTTTGTTGTAATTCGGTTCCAAAACAGTCCGATTTTACAGAAGTATATATAAATTATATTATGAATTAAATTAATTCAACTTAATGGCTACTCTATTAATACTATGTAATAAAAATATACAATATCAAAGCCTGACATGCCGCGGTCTCCGATCAGGATCGTTTTTCGTATACAATGATATAATATCATTGATGTCAAATTTAATACCATCCATTACAGCGATCTTTTAGACACCTAATATACAGAAGAGCGACATAACTTTCCCGCTTTTTAATTTAATACTACGTGAGTAGGTATATCTATCAACGTTTTAATATGCTCCATATTAAACCTTTTGGAAAATATTATTTTGAAAGGTTTATGAGTTGAATTTAAAAAAAGTGGAAAGTCTTCTTTTATTTATATTTATGCCGAATTAATTCAAGTAGGTTTTCAGAAGTAATAGTTACATCTGCAGTTTATTAAGATAGTCGGAACACTCGGAAAATTAAAATATAAGCGAAAACCAATGCCATTGACTAAATAATATTCTTACTTCTGAATTGGTATTATGTGAATTCACTCTAAAATTAAAGATGACAGTGTCACAATAAATATTCAAACATTTGATATGTTATGATGATAACGTTCGTTAGATGGATACAACACATGCGAGTGTGGCATTTTCTTAAGTATTTTTATTATTTTACATGGCACAATACAAGTATGGGTTATGGTAATTTGTAAGAGTAGGAACAATGAGTACAAGTAACTTTATGTCCATCTTTATTTATATAGGTATACTAATCGGTCACACATTTTTTATTATTACAACATTTTTACACTTAGTATAATAGACTACTACCAGCTATACTTTAAGGTTATTTTTTTAAACGTTTTCTCGACATTAAATCATCTAAAATTCATAAAAGAATTTGCATTTTTTTTAAATTGTTTATCAGATATTATTGGCTATACTGTTATTGTGTAAGATTACTAGGTTTTAAATTTAACAGAGTACCTACAATAATATATTTTACATTGTACAATTATGTTACAGTTACATAAAACAATTATTCAACTAAAAAAAATTGTATTAACAAAAATAATTTAAGTCGAATAAGCCAATTAACAAGGTCGTGAGGACGACCCCCTTGGAGTCTGTGTCTGTTAGGACGGACGGACATTTAGACGGAAATGTTGTGGTACATTTGCATAGTGTAAATGACTAAAGAAGCTTACCGATAGGTCCTTGATGTAGAATGTTTATTTGAAGGAATATTTTAATTATTCGATCTTGTACTCCTTGAACGCATTATATTGTTTTGATGCATCGATCACCCACGAGTGGATCGTACGTAAACTTGATTAATGATGTTTTGATAACATAAGACTTATGTCATAAGTGACATAAGTTACTATAATGTTTCCTGAGTTCTGACAACAATACACTTATAAGTACATCACTATTGCGTAGGTAAGATATATGTATATACCTAAATATAGGTAGGTATAGGTACCTAGACTTATATTAACACATGTAACCATTCAGTATTATATAAAGATAAACTAATTTTTACTGTGAATTATTTAATATATGTTTTATTTTTTAAATGTTTAGGTATACCTTATTTAAAACTCGAACTAATAGCTTTTCAATTATTAAAACATTTGTACTATATGGAAAATGTTCCTCAAAAATGGTTTCACAGCAATATAAAATGAATGTAATATTGGATCTAGGATTTATTATTCGATTTTTACATATTGTTAATGTTGATAGATCAATAATTATTCAAAGGTTCCGATATTCATAACACATCATCTTACATGTCCATTATCAGGGACACATTATCTTTAGTATTCAAATTAAATAAATCAAAAACTTCTAACGAATTTTGATTTTGACAAGTCAAAATGTTCAGAAAATTATAAACCAAATAATGTTAAGTAGAAAAGAGGGTATTTCGTTTTAAAAATGGATATTCGTATCTCCACCGGAGCAAAGGACTTAAATACATAGGTACACTCCTTAAGTAGTAAATAAAATATAAAAATGTAAAAATATCGTTTTTAAGTATATTTAAAAGTTCTTGAAGAAAAAAGGTGCCGAGCATGCTTGGTGTATCAACTTGATATAGGCACCTATCTAATACTTATACAATTATATATAGGTAATTATTTGCCCATCACTCGTCGTAGTACTTATTACTAAACATAGTAAAATTATTATTATATTATGATTACTCTACAATTTAGCAGACTCGGTGTGTGTTTTTTGTTTATTGAGAAAAGGCTGGCGCAAAACATTTAGTCAGCTCTGTCGCTATTTAAGACTAAACAGCGCACATTATATGTGTATGGTTCCTCAAAAAGCCCAAGATTTGGTCGGGACACGGGTTACTTCCCAGTGGCGCCCGAGTATAAATCTAAACTTGTGCATTGTATTCGTGTAATTGGGGGGTGCATTTGACCGCATAATATGAAATATAAAAAAAAAAAAGAAAATTATGTCGAATAGTCGCGGCGGCGGGTCGTAGGTAGTAGGTACCTATCTCGACCGTCGTTCGTCGGCTCTCCTAGCACTCGATCCTGCCGACGGGTCGTCGTAAAAACCCGATCGCATAAAAAACATAACAATAACGATAATAACAATATCGCAATGCACATTATGAGGTAGGAGTCTAACAGCATGAACCGAATGCGGTGAATGTGTAGGTACTATCGGACTCTCGGAGGTACGTTACACACACAGTACGGTTACATGCACATAAAATACAAATAAATCGGCTGCGCACCCGATACATGCGTCGATATCCGTCGCACCGAAGAATCATGACCGCGTACGCAGATTGTTTGCTCATTGATCGCGTCGGCTAATTTATTTAGAGGGATAATACACACGCGCACACGTGTGCAGTACAATATAATAATATCGCGAGTGTGTGAGTGTGTGAGTGCGGGTGTGCGGGTGTGTGTGTGTGTGTGTGTG